GTCTGGAGCTCCCTCCAGACTCACCGTGCTGGCTCGCCGGTAGTGCCCCTCGGACCGGTCGAAATCGATGGGGAAATCGTCYAGGGACCAGGTGAAGGTGAGGTCCATGGTGGGGTCATGGGACGCGTGGCACTGCAGGGTGAGGTTCTCGCCCACGTTGATGTCAGCACTCGATGGCGCCAGCGTGATCTTGGTGGCATCTGCAGGGAACGAGCGGGAAGGGCCGTCAGCCCCAAATATTCCCATTCCTGCATCCAAATCATGCCTTTCCAGCTCCTCATCCCGCTGGAATTCCGCAGGAGGAAGAGGAGGGGTTAGAAAACAGAACTCCTTTTGTCAAGGACTGCGTGTTGGCGGGTTGGGTGGAATTTCTGTTGCTGAATTTACTCTGATTTCCTGCTCTTTCCGCTGGTTTTGGGGAGTGTAAGGAGAGGACAAAGACCATATAATTAAATCTTACCCATTTCTTCCTCGACTGACCCCAAATCGAGGCATCCCTACCTCGGACAGAGAGGATTCCGGTGCTGTTGGCTTTGCCCATGAAGTTCTCAGCGAAGCAGGTGTATTTGCCCTCRTCGGATTTGCTGATGTTCTGCAGGATCAAGGTCCCATCCGCCGTGATCGTCACCCTGCGGAGGAAGAGGAGCCACACGAAGGAAGGTTAAAAGATCCATCACCTCAAAACACCTGTGAATTTCTGCTGATTTTAGAGAAATTTGGGACAAAACCAAGTGGGAAAACATCGTGTAGGAGTTTGCTAAGGAAGAAATCAGAGGATAGCAAAGTTCAGGGATGCAGCAGGATCACCAAGTCCGATCTTCTGGCAAAAAAAAATACAATTTTAGCTGAATTTTCTGTGTTGAAGCTGACTCTGAGCCTCTACCTGCTGCTGTTGACCAGGAGCTCGGTCCCTTTGGTCCAGAGGATGGTGGCTTTGGGAGCTGCTCGTGGCTGGCACGGGATGATGACCYTCCCGCTGCGGGCGGCCGGGATCAGGCGCTTCACCGGCTTCAGTCTGAAATCTGGAGCTAAAGCTACCGGGATAAAACAAGAGGATTAAAGCACGAGTACAAAACCCAGCCCTGGGGGGAATCTCAGCGCAGGAATCCATTTGGGGTCGAACGGCTCAGTGAGAGAAGCGAGGCAGAGCCTGGAGAGCGGGATGAGGGGGGAACTCCTCGGCCGCCGGGCGGGAATTGCGCGGCACGAGTGGGAACGGGCGGAGCGATGGGAATGACCCTAACAAGTGCAAGGTCTCCGAGAGACACAACAACAGCTGCTTTGGGACGTGCCGAGGATAATCTCTTCGATATCCTGAGCGATGCAGACATCCAGCCTGCCCGAGACTGCTCCTGGAATTGCAGATGGAATTGGGATTTACCTGCCGGCCTCGGCGTGTTAAGGTTGAGCAGGTGGTGCTCAGGGCCTTTGATTCATCCCTGGCATCTCCATCTGGAGATGAACTTTTGGAAYGTTAAGTTTGGCAGCAGCTCAGCTCCAGTCACCATCAAAGCAGGTGGAACGGAGGCTGAATGATTTTTTTTTGGGATCTCTTTCCTCCAAAAAATGGGTTTGTGGTGGAAGAGAGGCTGCAGTGGTGCTGCTGCATGTCCCGTCCACTTTCTGTGGCTCACAGGAAGATATTTATTTTATTATTATTTATTATATTATTATTTATTTTATTATTATTTACAATTTATTATTACTTTTATCATTTTATTTTTTCACAGAGATTTTTATTCCCTTTCACAGAGAATTCACACAGGATTTAACATTTTCCAGGCCGGCAGAGGATTTTGTTGAACCAGCAGCCGTTGCTGTGGTGAGCAGAGAGAATTTTGCCTGCTCCCATCACAACATCAGGATCGCATCGGGATATTCGGAAGAGATTTTAATTTTTTTTTGGTTTTTTTCTGTGTCCCATTGGAACTCAGAGCTCTGGGAAACGAGGAATTACCTTGCACTGTTAACTCAGCGCTTGCATAAACTGTGCCATGCTTGTTCTCAGCCACGCACTGATACATGCCAGAGTCCTCCAGGACTAGCTTGGAAAATCTCAGCTCTCCACCGCTCACTTCGATGCGGTTCTGTGCAAACAAGAGGACGAACCCGTTAGATGAGGAAAACAACAAAAAAAAACTCGGTGGAGTTTTTGGAACTCAACCCTCAGCCGGCTCGGGGTTGAGTTGTGTCACAGGCTCCTCGAAGCCAGCTCTGTTTTCC